AAACGCCTTCTATCCTCCCGTCGTTTGACGTCACAGATCTTCCTATTTTTAATAGAGCAGCATCTTCTAAGAATTCCCCAGTGAATCACAGCAGGGGGAGGAGGCCGCGCTGTCAGAGGGGGAAGCTGGGCGTCCACCGCCCCGGTGCGCCAGGGCAGCGGGCAGGTTGACGAGAGGCCAAAGCAAGTGCCCAGGGATGAAACGCCAGACCCGAGATTCACTGGGGAAAGCAGGCGAGAGGCCAGGGACTGCTCCAAGAGGAGTCCAGTGGTGACAGGTTGTCAGACAGCACCTCTGTCCCTCAAGGTGCTTCGCCAGGCAGGGCCCCCCACCTCATGGTGTTCTCTGCAGCGGGGGCCACCTGGACATCTCACGTATCCTCCGCACTGGGCCCTCAGTTCCACGCCTGCCCCCCCCCACTCTCTTGGGCTGCAGAAGCTGTGGCAGCATCAGCATCGGCCTGTCTGGATGGCCAGCATCCCGGGAGCAACTGTCCCGGTTGCCTTCCACAGAGGACGTGACCTTGCCCTAGTTCCCAGGGTGCGGGAAGGAGAACCAGTGCCCTTCAGGACAACAGGCACCCACACCCCCTAGAGCGGCCTGCTCTCGGGTTCCCTTAACCAGGCGGCTTCAGGGAACCGAACAGGGGGATTCGGGGACATGTGTTTTACCGTCCCCTTCTCTTTAAGGACAATCCACAGGGAGAGTCCAATCTGCTGCCCTAGCCGGTGAGTGGGGCAGAAGGTGGATTTCTGGTGACCAGCTGCCCTGGGCCGGCTCTCGGCAGGGAGCTCTTTAAGTTTCCATAGAGCGCAAATGGGCACAGGTCTCTTTCCAGAGGAGATCCCCCTCCGTCTGAGCCACCTTCTCGGACTCCTTCCTCCTCTAAGTGGATGAAATCACTCGAGTTCTGTGAACCCCGAGTCCAGCCGTATCCTCAAGACGATGAGTTTGGCACTTGACCAAATGGTCTCTCCTTCTTCGTATGCCAAATACTTCTTCCCTTTCCTCTTACTTCGAAATAAGTGTGAAGATTTTTGCACGAAAAGCATTAAAAACACTTGCCATGAAGAGAGGAAGGGAGAAAAAGAAAACAGAATCTCCGTGAGTCCTAAAGTCCAAAGACACCACGGTCAGATGTCGCTGTGTGTGTATCTGTCCCCACAGGGGGTTGGTGGTACTCACCCCCCATCCCACCCTCCCAAAGATGTACCCACCCAGAATCCGTAAGTCTGACTTTATTTGGAAAAAAAAAAGGATTTGCACAGACAAATGTAGTTAAATGAAGGACCCCCTGTCAGTCGGTTTCCATTGCTGGGAAACGCGTGAGAGTCAACCTAGGAGGAGAGGATAGATCTCCTTGGGGTCATGATTCCAGAGGTTCCAGCCACAGTCTCTGGGACCCCTCACGGGGCCTGCAGTGAGGCACAACGTCATGAAGGGGGCGCTGTGGCAGAGCAAAACTGCTCCCCTCAGGGAAGCCTGGAAGCAGAGGGAGGAAGGAAGGGGCCAGCAACGTAACCTACCCTTGAGGACATGCCCCCAGCAACCCACCTCTGCCAAGGAGGCCCCACCTCCCACAGTTCCCACACCTCCCCCATAGCACCACCAGGGGGGACAGAGCCTTTGGGGTCAAGCCAACAGGTCTCAGATGAGATGATTCTGGATTATCCGTTAGGCCCTAAATCCAACGGCGCATGTCCTTACCAGAAGAGGAAAAACCTTCAGACAAAAGAGAAGGCCAGAGACGCAGAGTGACTGTGTGATTCTGCCACATACTAAGAATGTCCGGAGCCTTCAATGGCAGGAAGAAACCAGGAAGGTCCTCCCCCAGAGCCCCCAAAGGGAACCTGGTGCTCAACTCAGATGTCCAGTGTCCAGAGTCACGAGAGAATCGACCTCTGTTCTTTGGGGCTAGTTGGTAGCATTTTGTTACAATAGCCCTGGGAAACTAATATAACTCACTTGTTCATTAAAGCTGCTGAACAATTAGGAGCTAGATATTAGACCAAGGAGCTGGGGAATGAGGTGCCCAACTCTTCACAGATGTACAAACATGTTTTTAATGGGCCACCACAATCGTTATCATTAACATTTTCCCATCTAATAATATAAACATACTTCATGATAATAAATAAATTCAGCTTTGTCTTACAGATAAACCACTAATTTTCTCCAGCAGTTCTCAGTTTTCCAAACCTTGAGTTTGTTTCAATGTCTCTTGCTATACAGCAACTACCATTCCTTTTTTTTTTTTTTTTAGAGAGAGAGAGAGGAGAGAGAGGGAAAGAGAGAGAATCTCTTTTTTTTCTTTTGTAGATGGACACAATACAATGCCTTTATTTTTTTTTTAAATGTGGTGCTGAGAATCGAACCCGGGTCGTGCCCGTGCTAGTCGAGCGCTCAACCACTGAGCCACACTCCCAGCCCCCATCATTCTTTATCTAAATGATTATGTACCCCTTTAACCATTTTCTTAGTTTTGGGAAATGAAATTCAGTGGTCAAAGTTTGCTGCAGTTATCTGCCCAGCTCTTAATCTCCCAGTTCCAAGCCCGCCCTTCTTTACCCCGTCTGGTTAAACCAGAGCCGGACCTGGAGCCTTTCTCCCTGACTGTTGGCACCGTGACAGGCTTTGTCACTAGAGGGCACCAGAGGGCAGGAAGATCTGACCCCTCCCCCACGCCCACCCCACCCCCTCCCCAATCCTCCATTTTATGGGAGCCCAGCCCCAACCACACTCTTGAGCCACACTCCCTCACACTTCCACCCTGGGCCTGTGTCCACTGTGGCCGGGTCATGGCCACAGGTCTCTCTCCCCGTCCCGCCTACACATCAACATGGCCTGCCGTGGTAGACTCATTCTCTACAAAAGGTCTACATTTAAGCCTTGAGTTCCAGTGGGTGCAGCTTCCCAGAACTCAGTTCCTTCACGGTCCACTCTTCCTCAGCCTGGATTTCTATTTCTGTTGCTGTTCTTGCAGCTGCTACTTCTTCTAGACGCCTTAGAAGCCCCTTATCACATTCACTAGTTAACCATTTATTAAATTTTTCCTTCTCAAATAATTGGTGGGCGTTCAGTCCCCTAACTGAGCTCCGACTGATATAAAATCCTATACCCATTTACATGACCAAATTAACTTCCGGAACTGTTGCTCCCATTTATAAGTCCTAATCAATTCTGGATAGTTTCATTCTTCTTGTTTGTTTGTTTGTTTTGTTTTTTTGTTTGTTTTTACAGTGGAAAGAAAAGGAAAAAATGTCCCTCATCAATTGCCTTAATTTGCATTTCTCTGATTTATTGGTAGGGTAGATGAACAAGGACTGGAGTATATATTGCATTGAAAGGAGTCACATCAAATCAACAATGGTTACTTTTAGGAAAGACAATAGCATAGAGGAGAGAAGGCAGGAACGGGCAACGACTCTAAATCCTGTACAGTGTCCAAATGTCTTACAAGGGGAGAGTATTCATGGGTCTTTTGTGTATAATTAAAAATAAATACATCATGAAAATAAGCCACCGCTGGGCTCCCTGCAGCTACACACTGCTCGACCCCCGTCAGATCTGCTGCCCTCTGCTGTGGTTGGAACCAGGTGGTCCCCACGTCAACCCAGGCTGTGGCTTAATTGCCCAGTGTCCCTATGTTGAGGTGGCAGGGCCTTGGGAGGCCTTGGGGGTCATGAGGGATCCTCTCTCAGGAGATTAATGTTTTTCTAGAGAGTCTGGGTTGGTCTTCTCTAGACTGGAGGCAGGTTTGGCAGGACTGGATTAGAGCAAGAGGAGGTGGTCAAGAAATGAGTTCAGCTTCCTGGTCGGCTCACTCTCTCGCTTCCACTCACACCACGATCTCTCCCCACACCAGCTCCTTCCTCCTTCCTACTCTACCACGTATGGAGGAGAAGGTGGCCCTCCCCAGCAGAGGACCAGCTATGGCCTCAGATCACGGATAGAATGTGAACGGAGATAAGCATCTTTTCCCTAGGGCTCACACGGACTCAGGTAAATGGAGTAAACTTTGGCAAGGGCTGATCCAGACACCAGAGGCTTCCGTGGCGGCCAGTGACTTGTCCCTCTAGAACCCCAAAGGGAAGTGCAGGCTCAGCATGTGCACCTGTTGTGGTAGCTACGCTCCCTGTATTTTCTGGGATAAGAGAGCCATGGTTTCTAACACCCTGCCTCACTGTAAGACCACATGGAAAGTCAGGAAGTGGACCCTAAATCCAGATCGTTGTTCACCACGTGTCATCTAGGGAGGAACACAGGGAGCCCGTAGAGGCCGTCAGGTTCTCCGCCCTTCCTGGCTACCAGGTGGACGCAGAGGAAGTGAAAGGTAGGACGTGGCCTAATTCTCGAGAAGAGCCTGGCTCGTCAGCACAGGCTTGGCTGCAGGCACTGTCTGTGCGTAGAGGACTGATCACCTCTCACCTTTCAACCTTACGTCCAAAATAAAGAAACAAGAACAGCACTAAGAGAGTTAAGATGATCAGTTAAATTTTTTTTTTTAATTTTAAAAAAATTAGAATTAAGATGATGTCATGGCACTCATACCAACTGTAATTGATAATTTCATGATTCTCCATGAGATAGAATCAAATTAATTTAATGCAACCAATTAGCCAGGTGTGGTGGCACACACCTGTAATCCCAGCTACTCTGGAGGCTGAGGCCGGCCTCAGCAACTTAGTGAAACCCTGTCTCAAAATAATTTTGGGGAGGAGTGAGGAGGAGGTACTGGGGATTGAACTCAGGGGCACTTGACCACTGAGCCACATCCCCAGCCCTATTTTGTATTTTATTTAGAGACAGGGTCTCCCTGAGTTGCCTTGCTTTTGCTGAGGCTGGCTTTGAACTCCCGATTCCCCTGCCTCAGCCTCCCAAGTTGCTGGGGTTATGGGCGTGCACCACTGCGCCTGGCTGGAAATAAATTTGTAAAGTGTTGGTTGTGTAGCTCAGTGGTGGAGAGACCCATAGGTTCAAATGCCTAGTCCCACAATAAAAACAAACAAAGTCAGTTTAATTTGATGAACATTGCATTATCATACAGTATATACTTGACGTTCTTCCAGGCAGGTAACAGAACTCTGTTGGGCTGAACTGTGTAGGGAGTGAGGAACATGACAACTGGTGGGCACAGAGAGATAGATGGTCCCCCAAGGTGGAAGGATTGGAGGGGCGGTGGAATAAGGGAACAAGCACGGTGGGTGGCGTTTGTGGGAGTCTGGACCAGGGGGCGGAGGGAGAAAAGGAGACCACAGGTGCAGGCTTTGTGACAAGCAGGACCCATGGACCTTTAGGGAGCAGGAGGACTGCTGGCTGCAGACCTGGACAATGTGATTCTCGCCTCTCCGTCAAAAGTCAGCGAATGAAGACCTGCGCTCATGCCAAGGCTTTCTGGAGTCGGGTCTGTTTATTTTAGCTGCATTGATGTTCTGAGACTGAACTTTGAGCCACATCAAAGGTATTTATTTGTGTTACGTTTGTTGGATGTTTGCCTCACGCACTTGCTGTGAATTCACATCATGGATTAGGAGTTGCTGAGCCACAGCTAAAGGACCTTAGGATGATTTTCTAGAGACCCAGAAACGTCCCCCACTTCGCACCATCTCAGAATAGCTGTGCTGTCAAGGTGGCAGAAGCCGAAACAGGAACACAATGTTGTTGCCCAGCCTGGCAGCCAGCGCTCTCGAGGCACAGACACGGGCACGGGCACTGCTCAGAGCCTCGGAACCCTGCGGATCTCTTCCCCTTCTGAAATACAAACACAGTTCATTGTTCTTACTCGTATTCTTTATCCTTTATCATATTCTTGTCCTCTAAAAAGGAATAGCCAGGGCACGGTGGCACATGCCTGAAATCCCAGCAGCTCGGGAGGCTGAGGAAGCAGGAGGGTTGCAGTTCAAAGCCAGTCTCCACAACTTAGCAAGACCCTCTTGTCTCAAAATAAAAAGTAAAAATTTATAAAAGGGCTGGAAGGGGGCTGGGATTGTAGCTCAGCAGTAGAGCACTGGCCTAGGACGGGCGGGACCCGGATTCGATCCTCAGCACCACATAAAAATAAAAAGGCATTGTGTTGTGTCCAATCTACACCTAAATAAATAAATAAATAAATAAATTTTAAAAAAATAAAAGGGCTGGAGGTGTGGCTCAATTGTTAAGCACCTCTGGGTTCAATCTCTTTTTTAAAATTTTAACTTATTAACAGAAACATAGAAATTAAATAATTTTAAAAATCAAATCATAAAAAATAAATAATAATTAATTCTTATTAAATTAAATTAATTAAATACTAAAATAATTGATTAAACAATAAAAAATAGAGCATTTTTTTGATCCTAGACTGGAAGTTGAATCCAGGTCCTCACACATACCAAGCAAGCACTCTGCCGTGGAGTTACATCCACAGTCTCTTACTTTTTTAATCTGTATTTTTAACATAGGGTCTCACTAAACTGCCCAGGCTGGACCCAAACTTGCAATCCTCCTGCCTCAGCCTCCTGAGTAGTTGCGATTTTTGGCATGTACCATCAGGCTCAGATAGAATGAGTCTACTGCCGGTTGACCCTTATTAACCTGTCTCATCTTAACATCAAGACCCCTACCCCATCTCAACTGTCTCTTTAAGATAATAAAATAAGAAAAATGTTTGAGAAGATAAAGGTGTTTAACCTGACTTAAATATTATACAAGGTATACATGTATCAAGACATCACTTGGAATCCCATAAACATGCACAATTCTTATATTTCTATGTTTCTCTTAATAATTTCAATTTTAAACAAGAAACTAAAATAGCCCAGAATATGATACCAGGAGGTCAAATTTTTAAGGAAATGTCGTAAGTGTACCATATAATAGAACATGCCCAACATCTGTAGATCAACACCCAACTTGGTCACATTTTAACATCATGTGATATATTCTTCAGATCTGTTTTTTTTAAAGAAACAGATCATTCCAGATTCTCTCACTTGGATCCCATAGATAACCACAATGCTGAATCTGTTGCTTCCTAGACTGACTGTTCATGTTCCTCTCAATATCATATGTTGATGCCAAAATCCCTAACAAGAGGGTATTTGGAGGTGAGGGCTTTGTGGGGTAACCAGAGCATGAGGGTGAACCCTTCATGAATAGGATTAGTGCCTGTTAAGGAGATGAAGAGACCAGTGCTCCTTCCCCACCCTGTGAGCATACAACAAGAAGATGGTCATCTGAAAACTGCCTGCACCTTGATCTTGGACTTTCCAGCCTCCAGAACTGTGAGAAATTTCCCCAGCCAATGGTATATTTGCTATAGCAGCCCAAATGGACTGAGACGGTGTTCATCATTCTCATGCATATGTTCACAATTTTACTACATACTCATCTACTAATACCAAGAATCATTTTGCCAGCTTTGATGCTGATCTACATGGGATCGCACTGCTATGCATGCACACATCACAAATAAGTCTTTATATCCTCATAAACCTTGAGGATTCATCCGTGTCAAAAATCAGGGTTATACTTCTTTCATTTTAACTTCTGCATCCAATTATGTGACCATACCACACATTACTATTTGGTGGAGGAACATCTACTTTCTTTCTGCAATTCTTTGCTAGTCTTAGCCAGACTGAGGGAAAAATTCTTTTGGATGGAAGTATGCATCTTTTGTTTTTTATTTCATTTTGTTTTTAACAAAAGTTAAATTCAATAGTTAATTGAATTTTAATAATGAGGTCAATAAAGTTGATCTCTTTTTTTAATGTACAGGTCTATCGGTTATAACACCTGCATAGACTCTTGTGACCACCACCATAAGGATATACAACAGTTCTCTCACCCCAAAACTCCCATAATGTTGCTCCTTTGTGGTCACGCCTTGGTCATTGTCCCCACTGCCAGGCAACCAGAGTCCCATGTCTAGGATATCACATAAAGATAACCATAAACTATGTAACCTTTTGAAACTTCTTTCTGTCGCAGCATAAGGCCTTTCAGAAGTATCCATACTGCTGTGTCTATCAATATTCTGTTCCTTGCCATTGCCAAGTCATACTCCAGGTTATGATGTGTGACCGTTTATCTATGTGTCCATGAAAAGACATTATTTCTTATTTTGTCAACTATTAATAAATCTTCTATGAAACCTTCCTGGGGCAGGCTTTCGTACATGTATGAATTCTTGGTTCACTTGAGTAAATACCTACTAATGGGCCACCAGGTCGTGTAGCAAGAATATATTTGGCTTCTAGTCTAATTCTAGTATGAACAGAGAGCATAATTTGCATGACAATGATTCTTATACCCTTCTTTAATGCTTGCTTTACACCCCCAGTTAACAGTCTACACTGGTAAATGTCGTGTACACTTGGAAATAAAATGTGCATTATAATGCTTTGAGTGGAGTGCCCTGTAAATGTTATGAGCTGCAGTTGCCCAATAGTGTCCCTCAGTTCTCCTATGCCACTGCTGACTCTCTGTCCATTTGCTCTATTAATTGCTAAGAAAACAACCTCGATGTCTTCAGCTGTTACATGTTGGGATTTGTCCATCTGTACTTTCAGTTTCATGAGCCTTACTTCGTGAACTCTGAGTTCTGTTGTTAAAGACAGACACACTTAGGGTTAGTATGTCCTGTTGGCAAATCGTCCGTGTTTTGTCCCTGGTCTATTCCTTGTTCTAAAAATCTCTTTTTTCTGATTTTAATATACTCATCCTGTGTTTTTTTTGCTCAGTGTTTGCTTAGCATGTCTATCTTTTTTCTTTTAAGCGACCTATAGAAATATGCAAATATGTTATATTAATATTACAATTTTATATAATTACAAATTACCATATACAATATATATCAGTTTCTTGTAGGCTGCACATTTTTTAATTGATTCATTTTGACAATCTTTGTCTTTTTTATTAGATCTTTATAGTTATACATATAAACTCATGCATACATGGAATTCAATTTCAGTTGATCATCTCTGATAATCTCTGACTTTCAATGGGTTTGTTTAGACCATTTACATTTAATGTAATTATTGGTTGCATGTAAGTCTACGGATTTATAATTTATTTTGTTGGTTCCCTATTTTTTGGTGTTCCACTTCAATATATTTATTGTTTTTATTATGTCTTAGTTTGTCTGTTTGTTTTTAGTGGTTGCTCTGGGGGATCACAATATACAAACTTCATGTTTCTCAGTCTACTTAGCACTAATGTTTTTACCACATCAGGTGGAATTTAAAACCCTTACCAATATATAGGTCCCTTTACTTTCCACCCTTTATGTTGCAGCAATCATATGTATGTAGGTACATACACAAACACACATGCACACGCACACACAGAGACATACACATGTAGGTAGAAACTCCATGAGACAATGCTATAATTTTTGCTTTCAATAATCATATGTATTTTAAAGAACTTAGGAAGAGAAAAATAATCTGTTATAATTACCTAGATATCTACCAACAGATATTTGATTGCTCCTCCCTCATTCCTGAGATCCCAGATTTCCCTCTGGTGGGTGGCATATGCCTTCCATCGGGAAACTTCTGTAACATTCTTTTAACACTTCACTAGTGATAAATTCTCTTCATTTTCTTTCATCTAAAAAAAAATGTCCTTATTTCATCTTCATTCCTAAAAGAAATAGATGCTGAAAGGGAACTTTGAAACTGTCTAACTCAAAGTGCTAATTTGCACATAAGGAAAGTGGGGCCCAGAGACACTAACCAATCTGTCCCTTGTCATCATGGTAATTAACGGTTGAGCCAGGACCACAGTCCAAGCTCCCTCACTCCCAGTCCTGTGCTCTCCCTCTTTCTAATCAATGTCCTGCTTTGCTACCTCAATTATTTGGTTTATCCTGGGAGTAAAAGAGCTTGTGCAAAAAGAGCTTGAATATTACATGCTCATAAAGGGAAAGTAAAATTATCACTTTTTAGAACTGAAAGGAACCTTAGAGATTATTGACTTTGGCTTTTCATGTTTCAGAAGAGAAAAATGAGGCCCAGAGGAGTAACTTCAGTCTTCCAAAGGAAACTTATTAAAAAGTACAGCCACAAGTTTTTGTAATAAGATACCCACCATTGCCTAAAGAATAGGCAATAGAGGTATTTGTTCACTTGTGGTCTGCAGTAGTGCTAGGTTGTGCTGTGCCCAACACACACGCACGCTCTAGCCCCCTTATAACATTAGGATTACAAGTTGGGTGACTAGCATAAACAGAGTATCCTAGACGGACAATTTGGCAGCAGATGTATGACTCTGTTCTCATTAGCACTGTCTTTTCAACCAGGGATTCCTGAAATTCAGTGTGTATCAGATGCTTTATAAGGTGACAAAAATCAGTTTATTGACCCAGGTACATACCTGTAATCCCAGCAACTCAGGAGGCCAAGGAAGGAGCATCACAAGTTTGAGGCCAGACTCAGCAACTTAGTGAGACCCTATCTTAAAATTTAAAATCACCAAAAGGGCTGGGGATGTAGCTCAGTGGTAGAGCACCCTGGTTCAGTCCCCGGCACCAAAAAAATAAAAAATAAAAATAAAAAGTCAGCCTATTGAAAATACACAATCTTGGCCCCACTTCCAAAGATTTAGACTCATTTGACCTAGGGTACAGCCCTGTCATTTGCATTTTGTAAACAAACCAGGTAACTCTATCCAGTTATCTGCTTCAGATTCAGAAATATTTGGTCTATGTTGAGCCATTATATTTTGGTGATCACAGAAAATTCTGGACTTTCTCACTTAGAATAAGAAAACTGTACTTTCTAACTCAGAATAACGTGTTAGATGCAACGTCAGACCGGCCAGTCTTAGGTGTCTTAAGCTCACTCTCTTCTGGTCCTGCCACTCACAATAATTGAGTTGCCTCTCTCCTCTGGCTGCTTGCTAAGACAGCTAGCAGGTGCAGGTAACAATGTCCTCACACTCATCTGCACTGCAATAAAAACTCCAAGGGACACAGAAGTTTACATGTGGCTTTATTATTTCTCGATGAGTCTCTTACCTACAACTCCTTTAACAGCTCCATTGAGATTCCGTTTGGTTTTCTAACCAAATATAACGGTTACTTATCTGGGGCCAGATTTTATAAATCCAAGTTCTTATTTTAAATAACTCTCTTTTCCAAACCACTCCCTGCCTCCCACAGAGGAATACACTTGCACAGACCCACAAACACCATTTCTTCTATGGGATTTTGTCAGTTCTCATCTGTGTACCCTGCTGTGTGTGAGAACCCATGAAGATAGGAAAGGGAAGAGAAAATCATGCCCGTGGAGTTATAGTATGGTGCAGAAAATCAACCACGCAACAAAAAAACAGCTAGTCGTGTTTTAAGCAGCAAGTGAACATATGCAAGATAAAAAATAGAATCTAACCTTCACAGACAGGGGAACTCTTGTGTTTAAATGTTGACTTTGTTGTTTTCATGATTTAATTCTTAGAAGTAGAGGGCGAGACTGAAAAGAAACACAAGTGCCCCTTGCTTTGCTCCTCTTAACGCAGGCTGCACGCCCTGATCTTCCTGCGCTGCCTCATTCTTTTTCTTAATTGGCTCATAGGTACAGACAAATCTTGTCTCTCTAACGATTGTAGAAGATGCTCAAAGGGAGGAAGTAACCGTGTCAAATATTTCTTCTGTGTCTCCTTCAGGGTCCAAAACAAAGTCATTTTTTTATAACCAAGAGTGACACCCCTACCGTGTACTAGGCTCTGTATGAGATGCCAGTGTCAGAGATAGCCAGTATCCCTGCCCTGGCTCAGCAAGCATTTCTCAAACTTTTTCCAAATTATATCTGTGCACACATCAATGGTAGCCCCCTTCCCCTGCACACAGGTGGTGGTGCTCCATCAGAGACACCCACGGGTGTCTAACAAGGGCTGCTGGGACAAAGCACCACACACACCGAGTGGCTCAAGCAACAGAAACTGACTGTCCCACAGTTCTAGAGGTTGTCAATCCAAGGTCAAGGTGTCAGCCATGTTGGTCTCAGGGCTGAAGGAGAGAAATCCATCCCATGCCTCTTTCCCAACTCGCAGGAGCACTGCCCGATTTCTGTCTTCCTCTTCATCTGGTGCTTTCCCTGCATCCTGTCTCTGGGTCCAAATCCCCTCCTCCACCTTTTAAGGGCACACTCTACTCCAGTATGACCTCGTGTTAACTAATTATATCTGCAATGACCCTATTTCCAAATAAGGTGACATTCTCTCAGATATTAAAGATCTTAGCATACGAACTTGAGTGAGGTTATAATTTGATGCATAATTCATACAAATAACTAGATACAATGGCCAAAGCTATAAGGGAGCGTATGAGGAGCTATAGGGGCACATGAGAGGTCATGGCACCAAGGACAACATCCGAGAAAATGAGTCAAGTGGCAAAATGCTGAGTGGACAATGGAAATTCTCCAAGTGGAGACAGAGGAAGGGACATTTGATTAAAGAAATGTCTGTGGGAGAATTCAGAAAATATCATGGGGTGAAGACTGGGAGAGGGGTGTCTAAAGAGAGGGGAGATGAGACTGGAAAGCAAGGTAGAAGCCAGACCACGAAGAGCCGTGCCACAGTGAGTGACCAGATCCAGAGGCATGAAAAGCTACAGGGGACTTTCAACAGGAAATATTCTGATTATTTCTGCATGCTTGAAAATGCCTGGTGAGAGTATGAGTGGGCACCAAGTGGGGTCATGCTGGAAGCCCATTTGCAAGTCTGAGCAAGAAACTATAGGGCTCTGGATACATTTAAGAACAATAGAAATGGAAGAGGTGCCATGCATTTTAAAGAAATGATGAGTTCCAAACAAACGGCAGTTTAGAATAGTTTTCGTGTAGACTGAGAGAACATAGATGAAGTTGGTGAGGAAGCCAGGGGCCAAGACATGGAGGTGCAGAAGAAAAAAACTCTTTGAGGGAGAAAGATTTGGGGCAAATCCTGAGGATGACGGCATCTGATGGGCCCATGCTACCTGAAGGATTTCCACTCACCTACCCCATCATTATTCACACACTTCTGCTTGCAGTGTTGCCCTTGATCCTCAAAGGGCACGAAATCTATGTTCAGATAATCTCTAAGCAAGTTAGAAATATTATTCCCTAAATTGGGGCCAGGCAAAAAGGCTTCAAAGGGAGCGTTACACCATGGTCTGGGAAGAACAGAAATCATAAGGCTTGTGATGTTTTCAGGTCCCGTGTCTTTATCAGTGGAGAGAAATGCAAAGCAGTTCATCATCACAGATGTAGCACCACCATTCAGCACCTGAGTGCCTACTGTGCACCAGGCATGTGGCATTATTTATTATCACAGATATGGCACCATGGCTCAGCACCTGTTTTCTTCTTTGTTCTTCTTTAAATTATTTTATTTTTGTGTCAGCTAAAAGGAAATTGACACACTGAAATCTCAAAAGACCTTAGTGACTTCTTTATTATGATGCAGTTAGTCTCCCCAGAAGTTGCAGAGTTTCTCAGAAACTGAACACCAGTGAAAATTAAATTCTAGGTAAAATGGAGATGGGCATTGAGGCCATCCTGTTGTACTCCTCAAGATGGGCCTTTTCGGGTATCTTCCTTTTCCAGGATTTTCTATTTTTGTGGATGAACAATCTGCCCTAACCTATGGCCCTACAGGAGGTTAAGAAATAACCATGGCTGTAGCAAACGCATATCTCATACTTACTTAGCAGGAGCCAGGGGCTGCCATGAGCCATTTGTATACTCTCAACTTTCTTAAACCTGATAACAATCCTAGGAGGTAGGTTCTATGATTATCTTCATTTCCAGATTAAGAAGATGTCAGCGGACCACAGGAAATATCCCACTGAACCATGAGGGGAGAGAAATCTGGTTCCTCGGGTCATTGTAAGTCGCAAGTTTGTGACTCCAGCAAGGGAAGGGGAGGCTACTGCAAGCAGAAAGAGAAGATTCCCTGAAGGTTCAGCAAGTCGGGGTCAGCTCCTCAGTCGGATTTGCATTTTACTGTACTCCCTGTCATGAACTAGAGGAGCTAGGAGTTCGGGGCTCCTTCCCTCTTCTTCAAAAGGAAAATGGAGAAGCATAAATTACTTTACTGGACATCAAGAGAAAGCCTAACTGTGCCCTCCGGGGATGCATTTGGGTGGACCACTTTTACACCAAGCTAAACTCCCGAGTTCAGAGTGGGGTCATCGGGACCCCGCCCTCATTCAGCGCAAGAGCCATTTCCTCTTTTTAAAGTACAAGCAGAGTTGAAGTCGGACTCCATCCAAACAGGAAATCACCAAGAGTCTAGGTAAAACTGGCGCCTCATATCTAAAGGTCAACTTATTTTATTCGCCCACCGGGTATTTCCCGAGTGCCTACTATGTGCCAGACACTCGGCATGTCTTTGTTACGAATCTAGTGTGTTCTCTGAGAAAGGATAAGAAAACACACACACACACACACACACACACACACACACACACAACAAAGCTTACAAGAGAAAGGGTTTTTTTACGGAAATTAAGTCTTTCTAAAAATAAAAAATTTTAAAAAATAGAAATAAAAATAAAAACCTTCACACACACACCCCAACCCACCTGGTTTGGGTGCCTCCAAATGTGCGGATTGAGCCCTGAGCAAGGAAGGGGGATGGGCGCGAGAAGTGGTTGGTGACAAAGTGGAGGGCAGAGCCGGCAGAGGCTTCGGGAGTTGGCTGGCGAGCTGCGCCAGAGGCAGGTGCCAGCTGAGAGTGGGCGGAGGTGCGGGCGCCTGGCCAGGCGGGTGGAGGCCCGGTTACCTCTGCCTCTAGGAGTCCGGGCGCGCGTAGACAACGCCCCGAGGCGCCCCTGCTTCGCAACTCCCCACTCCCGCCGCCCGTGCCAGCCGGGGACACGAGCGTCCCCGCCACCCGCAGAAGGAGCCGCAGGAGCAGTCGCGTCCGCCGCCGAGCGACAGCATCCTCAGGAGAGCCGCCCCAGGCTCCTCAGCCGCCTGCCTCGGCCCGCTCTCTGCGCTCCTCCGGGCGGTCGCCTCTGCCTGGCCGCTGGAGGGACACCGGGGCCCTTCACCTGCCCAGGGCGGGCGGGCACAGGGCAGAGAAGGCGTTAGAAGCGGGCGCCCAGGAGACCCCTTCCCAGCGTCTCAGCGCGTTGAGGAAAAGAGACAGCCGCGAACCCCGGCGCTCCCTGCACCGGGTCCCCAAATTCAGGGCGACACCCCTCAAAGGGGGTCTGTCCCGCACGGTGAGCTCTCCGGCCGCATCGGCCCCAGCCGGCCCTCAGGACTCCAGGCGCCTCTGGTGCCTGCGCCCTAGGCGCCCTCCCGGGTCCCCGGAGACGGCCAGCCCGCCCCCGGCGCCCACCATAGCCCGCGCGCCCCGGCTGGGCCATGCCCGGGCTGCGCCGGGACCGCCTGCTGACCCTGCTGCTGCTGGGCGCGCTGTTCTCCGCCGACCTCTACTTCCACCTCTGGCCCCAAGTGCAGCGCCAGCTGCGGCCCCGGGGGCGCCCGCCCGGCTGCCCGTGCTCGGGTCGCGTCTCCTCCGCGGCGTCCGCCGCCTCCTCGAATCCTGGCACCATCGCGCACAACTTTTCCCAAGCCGGGCCCCGGGCTGAGCAGGACCGCGGCGGCCGCAGCAGCCCGCGCTCCAAGCTGCAGGCCCTCTTCGCCCACCCGCTGTACAAGGTCCTGGAGGAGCCGCCTCTCCTGGGTCCCGAAGACTCGCTCCTGGCCAGCCAGGAGGCGCTGCGGTATTACCGGAGGAAGGTGGCCCGCTGGAACAGGTGAGGACCCCGCCCGGGAGACCCGAGCACCCGCGCGTCAGCCCGGCCTCCCAGTCCCATTCTCCCCCGCCGCCCGGGCCCTGGGCTGTGGCGACTTCGCCCAGTCCTGAAGCCCTGTCACTGCGCTTGGAGTGTGGCCCCCCGCGCAGACCCCACCAGCAATTGCGGACCTCAGAGTTCAGGCCCGAAGTAAGATATCTGTGGCAGAAAAAGTTTCTGGGCAGCGGCGCCAGAAAGAAATGCTCTCAGCCACTCCCCTTGAGCTCCACGTTGTTGGCCGCCTAACCCCACTCCTGCTCCCCGGTGCCTTCCACCCCCTTTCTCTTTGTCCTGGTCTGGAAAGCCGATGCTGGACTTCGGGTTTTTCAGAATGAGGTTTCCAAACAGAGCAACTCCAGAGCTGGTTCAAATTCAGCACTTGCCTCTGCTCTTTGGGCAGACCTGGGCACTTTCCAGAAAGCATGTTTACTCCCCCCAAGACCCAGCTCTTTCCCTTCCTTAGCCCTCTGCCCAGTGTCAGAGAGGACAGGATGTCAACTGGAGCAGTGCCCTAACACAGCCACCCACTGTTTGTATTCAAACGTGGCTTGACCCTGTCTAAACTGAAGCGCTCTAAACTGAAGGCAGTTTATTATCTTTTATTATCGTGATGATTTGGGTTAACTTGGATCTGAAGGTTGATGCTTTTGCAGAGAACAAAAAAAAAATCTGCCTTTGATTTTTTTTTTAACCCAAGCAAAATTTAGAGGGGGAGGGAGATGGGGGAGGGCTCCCAAACATATTTAAGATAAATTTAAGAAGGGTGTTTTTGTGAGGAGGTGGGAAGTATTAGAGAAGGCAGAGTAGTTAGCCCTGAGATCCCCAGCTCATGACAGAAAGCCTTTATAGGAGTTAAGGACTGTTTTGAAGTAGGAAACTTGTCTAAATATCACTTGTAACCAGAATTCACTTTCACACCACACCCATCTCTTCTCAATACAAGAGATTTCAAGATATGAGATGTCATCAGTAGTTTTATAGCTCCTCTGGAAGATGAGTAGACCATAAATCTTGGTTGAAACTCAGAGCTAGCCCAATTTAACTGTTTGCTCATTATTCTGTAGTGCTTAAAAATGAAGGGAGGGGGCAGGAATCAAACCCTTTGGAAAGAGGAAGAAGTTGAGAGTTATTGGCTGAAATCACTGTGGTGAATTTCAATTGCAACTCTGTGGCTAATGATTTTATATTAGAAGGAAAGCGGTTCTCAATTTCACTGTTAATTGCATGCAATAAAAAGACAGTTTGAGATTGCTTTTCAGACACTGTCACTTTCAATATTACCTTTATTTCATCAATAACATGGGACTCTGGATCAGTGAACTAGGAAATTTTGCCCTTGGAAACATTATCTACACATTTATACAGATTTGAGAAAGAGGGACTATGGGAAGTCATTAGCTTTTGTAAATGTGGATCAGTGCTCACTCATTTAGTCACATTTTTGTGGCCTTAAACTTCCCTTATGATACTTTGGTCTAGAGGAAAGTCCAGAGACACACACATGCACAAACACTCACACACACACACACACACACACACACACACACACACACACTTTCTGACCAGAATTGAAGTTGATCATTTAACAGGGGATCAAAGGGACCTGGTGACCTTGCTGTATTCAGAGATCACAGAGTAGTTTTATGTGAATGGTTGAATATGACCATTTCCCAAGCAAGGTTTGTGGGCTACCACAGAGGATCGACTGCACTGATAAATGTGCAGATGGGTGGTGCACGCCTATAATCCCAGCTACTTTGGAGGCTGAGGCAGGAGGATGGAAAGTTCAAGGCCAGCCTGGGCAACTTAGCAAGACCCTATCTCAAAATATATTTTTTTAAAAAAAGAAAAAGAAACTGGGGACATAGCTCAGTGATAGAGTGTTTATCCAGCATGTGCAAGGCCTTGTGTCCAATCCCCAGTATTTCACCTCAGGGCCAGAGAACACCTTCCCTTCACCCAAACTGTACTGTAAACATCAACAGGATAATATTAATAAGCAGATGTGTAGTGACTTATACCAGTGCTCAAAATGGAAGCGAAAGATTCCTTAGCCAGTGTGGATTTGAACCACGCCCAGAGTTCTCTTGTAAGATGTACTAAGTATGAATACTACTCCCTTTAACCAGGGGGAACCCTCACTTAGGCACATGACCATGAGGACATGAGGAAGTGCAGATGAAGTTCAAGTACGGCTATGGTGCACAGGGCCAGAGGAGCCACCGCATCCCCCTGTGGACACATAATCGAAATAGATAGCAAAGGAAGAACCAACGTATGGCCTGGCTAATTGTTTGTCTCTTGCACAGACAGACAAGCCCTCCTAGTCCATAGCCCCAAACCTGCCAATATGTAAAATGCAGTGATTTTATAAACACATGTGGATACTTCCATGCCAGTAATTACCTAACATTAACTACCATCCAAAATAAGCGTATCAGCAAACTGTCTGCCCCGCCAAGAAAGGTGCGAGTCACAAAATAAGCCAAATCAGCATCCTTTGCCACTGGCCCAGAAGAGACCATTAGTCTAAGTGGTTTCTCTTCTTTTTATTTTTTATTTTTGCCACCACACTAATAAGTTATGGTATGAAGTCAGAGAGTGTCTTTCTTTACACCTCCAGCTCATTACTGACAGGAGGTAGGTTGATGGCTTGTCCCCCCGCACAGCACAGGATGAAGCTCACCTACTGTTGTGAATGATTAGGCTCTCGGTCGATATTTCTTAGTTGGATGTCAATATTTAGTCATGTTGAAATGCAGAAGGCGGTACGCTGAGTGCAGGTGGGCTGTCCGTGTGCCCCCTGGCCCCTAGCCTTCAGCAAACCTGCTTAACCCTCGTTTCCTCTCCCCCTCCCTCCCTCCCTCCCTCCCTCCTTCCCTTTCTCCCCACGAATGTAACCAAGTGTGGCAAGTCCAAGTTTAAAAGGTAATCAGGGAAAGTGTTTCTGTCAGGCCGTCAGCCGCTGATCACAGCGGGCAAGCCGACGCCAGGCTCCATCAGGCCCCCTGACGCCTCTGGCACCTGTCTGGAATAATAGCGAAGAGGCAGGAGTGCAGGGAGCAGGGAGATGTCATTTCCACTATTTCTGGCCAGGAACTAACAAGCCAGAATTGTGCCGCTCTCAGTTTGGGTCCTTAATGGGCAATGATGGCGGCCGGCCTCACCTGGAGCTCAGGTGAGCGGTTCATGTTGTTGCTATACCAACATCCTTAAAGGCTGAGTCTGGGGTTTGTACTCTGGCCCACAAGCTGCCCAAGCCAGACAACATCCTTGGACATATCAAAACTAGTCATCTTGGCCTGGCCTTCTGCCAACACATTTTTGGTCGGTTCTTCTATAACCCTTAGTCTTGACCAAAGGCAAGGTCAAATAGGGTCGTGTCTCCCTGTGCAGAAACTCCAGCAGCTACAAAGCAAATGTGAGTTCCCTGCTCTCTGCTTTTCTTCCTGAACGTCTTGGTCAGCTATCAGCAAGGTGTTGCTGTCCTGCGATGGGAGAGTCTGCATCTCTCAGACTCCTGCACGCCTGTGTGTCCCCCATCCCCAGAAGCCCTTGCCGCCCCCTCTTCTACCTCTTTGCCATCACTGGAAGGAAGCCTGAGTCTCTGAAAATCACAGCAAAGAGACTAGGCAGCTTCTCAAAAGTGACAGTTGTTCAAGGGGAGGAAATTGGCTGAAGTTTTCCTGGGGGAAACTTTGAGAAGATCCAGAAGCCAAGGCAGATAGGAGAGGGAGGGGGACAGAAAGCCAGGATCTGAGATGAAAAAGAGAGTTCAGCTGGAAATAAGAATGGTGTAGGGGAGGAGTGTTTGAAGGATAAGCTGCTTGCCCCTATCGCATCCATGACATGAATGATATAATCTCTTCACTCTCCATCCTTGTTGCTCTTTGCAGTTCATCTCATGACTGCCCAGGGCTTTTGAACCGTAGCTTCCTTGTGAGCAGTTCAACCCACAAGGTGGACCGAACACTACTGACTTCCGAATGGTGACCACTTTCCTTTCTCCCAGCAGCAACAGGGCCTAGGCCCCTTTTCTGATTCCTCCGAAGTGGTCAGGCATGGCCTCCTGCAATTTGAAAATGTTCCTGAGCCACACCAGCTGTGTGTGTTCAGCAGAGGGCTGGGGATTCATTCCCATTCCTCCAATTAGAGCCTGGCTTGGCGGGTTTTGGAAAAGCTATTATTTTAGTGGTTTCTGAGTTCCCCGGACTTGTAGCTGAAAAAAAAAAAAAAAACCTCTTCGCTCTTTTCAGAATTGAAAAATCTCCCTGCAGATAGCTCCTGAGGGGACAGTCTAAAAGGCCATTTCCAGGTTTCTTCTGCTTCGTTCCAAACCCTGGTCCTCACTACCACAGCAATGACCTAAATCAGGGAGAGCATCCATTTTCTCCTTTCAAGGAGGACAGCACTTCCTATTCCAGCCAAAAAAAAAAAAAAAAACAGAATTTGTCTTATTGTTCCCAAGTCTTAACAACCTCCTTCTACCCCAACCCCGGATCTCATCCATCCTGGAAAACCAAGTGGCTAATTTTTCTCGTGCAAATCCTCCTACCTGGAACTTGCTTGCTGTGTGCTGGGTATTTTCCATACTCTTGTTCATTTGGGCCTCTCGGCTTCTCCACAAGTAGGTGCATGAGGTCAGAGTTCCAAGGTGGTCTCCCTGGGTTTCCAGCCCCCATGTACACACACTCTCCCTGTTATTCAAGCCAGTACTGATTTAGATACTGATGCAAGGGATTTTATGGATGTAATTAAAATTCCACGTTCATTGCCCTTGGGAGAGGGAAAAGACCTGGTAAGCCTAATCCAATCACATGCACCCTTAAAGCATTTTCCTGAGCTAACGAAACCTAAGGACGCCAGATATTAAAAGTACATTGTGCCATTGCTGACTTAAAAGGGAGGGGACCATGGGGCAAAGCATATGAGTGACCTTAGGAGCTAAGATTACCCCTAAC